TTTAAAAGGTCCATTCCAGCCCACACCATTATATGACTCGATGATGCACACTTAAGAAAGGTAATGATGAACTTCCCTCAGTTTGAAAAATTGAATCAAACCACCTACCTGGACCAATAGGTTAGATATTACATGGAATAGATTATCTATAATACAGATTGCATTAGATAATTAGGTTAGTTAGTGTTTTAGTTAGAGGAAATTAGGAGCAATGAGAAAATTATTAATGTTATTTACCAGTGGCTAACTGGTCTGGAGTCTAATGAATGCCACAGATTGGTATCTAGACATCTGTGTGACTGTGTATTGAGAATCATCCATGAGTTTTCACCCTGAATTTTTCTGTACCTACTTTGAAGCAGGGGGATCCAGTGGGTGTCATCCCAAAATAGGTGATACCTCAATTTAGAAATACAGGGCTTGAAAGGGATTCCTAAGTCTCTAATTCCAATCTCCTGGCAACAAACTGTTTGCTTTTGTGAATAGCTGAAATTTTTCCAGTTTCTTCGCAAGTGACATTCTGTTGCCCTCTTTTACTCCTGAAAGTGTCAAAAACTACGAATGGAACGGGGGCATTGCAGGAGCTGAGACTTTAATTAGGAGAAACTGTCTGTGTTCACCTGAGTCACAGCGTGTCAGAACATGCAGGTGAGAAGGAAGCAGCCCCTCCTCATCAGCAAGGAGAACAGGAACATCCTGCTCCCTCAAAGAGCTGTTCTGGAGCAAAGCCCAGAAGGCTGCTAAGGCTTCTGGGAGAGTTTGTTCCCATCTGTCCCCAGAGGTTTCTGACACTTCCCTGCCATGGCTTTCTGACAGTGACCAGAGCTGTTTTGCTAGGGAGGTTCCTAGCATGCACCTCCGTGGCGCTGTACTCTGCTGCATCAGGCCACCCATCCCATGGCCTCGTTCTCTTGCTGAGCTAGCCCTGCAGCAGGACTGCCCTCAACAGACTTGTGTCCTGATGACTTTTGTTAGCATTTACAAGCTCTTTGCTTCCTGGAAGGCCTCCAGTGCTGCTTCTCTGGCATCAATTCAAGATTTGCTTTCAGCTCTAGCTGCTCTAAACTTCAGCACACAGTTCCATTACTTGCGTGGGATGGAGAGGAAGTATTTGGTCATGAATTTTGGCTATGACACAGCAGAGCTGTGTCAACAGAATTGTAAGCTCCATTATTGCCTTTTCCACACCAGCTGCTAATGGAATAGCAAGGAGAAACCTATGGCCCCACACAGTCCTCTGGAGCCATGATTTCTGTCACCCATAACAAACCCCCACCTCAGTTTCTGAAGTATGGGCTCTGGCCTATGTTAGATAGCTGGGATATGTGCTTCTAACCCCTGCTTCATCCCCAGATGGAAACAGCCTGGACAGAGGTCACTTGTGTGGGAAAAATACTGGATGGAGAGTATGTCTCAAGTTGTTGCTTACTCCTAATGCAAGATCTTTATTTTTTTTTTCTTCTTATAAAAGCTTCCTGTCTTCATTCTGCAGATCCAGAGTACTCAGCCATCAGACTGAGGACCCAAAAAGTGCCCCTAAAAGATACTTCAGATCAGAGCAAGCAGACAGTTGCTCTAGATGCCATCCAAGGCCTCTAAGGACCTTACTCTTCTTCCTATGATGGGCTATGACACATGTTGTCGCTTGCCCCAAACTCAAAGATCTTTCTTGTGAAACTGGTATTTGCCTAAGAGTTAATCCAAGAGAAGGGATACCAATTGGTTTGTTATTGTACAGTGATAGGAGCAGGAAAATCTGACAAGAGAGGGAGAGCAAGGGACTTCCATCTTGTAACTTTGGGGTCAAACCTTCTGATTTTCTGGATTTTTCTTTTCATGGACTCCTGCTCCAGCCCCTGTCAGGCAAGCAAGGTGCAGCAGCTCTGACCTGTTGAGCCCTACCAATCTGGGTTGTCTTGCTGCTGAAGGACTGCATGGAGCTCTGTGAGAATTGAAAACACGCATGGGTTGCTCAGGAGGTCACCACAACCAGCTGACCTCTGGCAAACAGAGCTTCTCATTCAATGTCATAATTCAGCTATGGACTGATCCAGGTGCCTGTAAATATCCACTCAAATAAGCTAGATACCCAGTTTGTTCCTTTTTACACTCCTTTACGGTGCATGAGGAATATAAAGAATGGTAACTTGATGGTTTGCTTGCTTGGGGATAGGAAAGAGAACATATTTTAAATTGGAGTGGATATGATTTGCTTGGTTACTTGCCTTATAGACTCAGACATCTGAGTTCTGTGTTGCTAGAGTAAAGAATTTGAGGAGAGCTCAGAAAATGAATGCTTGCTAATAGAGATCAAGAGATCCAGAATGGGGATGTTTAAAATGTGTCAGGTTTGTTGATGTATCTCTAATGAGCTTTTTGGAGAAAAAAACTTCAGTGAACATTAAACAGTTCACCTCAATAAGGGCAACTGTCTTTCTCAAAATCCTACAGGTGAGAAAGAAATTTTCACACTTTCAGCATTAAAAAACCCCCAACCCACAAAGCACAGGACTGAGAGATTACAGGGACTGTCCAAAATATTGACATGCCTGGGCTGGTCCAGAGGCAACTGGTGTGCCACCACTGCAGTAAGGAGTCCTGGATTCTGCCAGTCCCGTGTCACTCCAGCCCCATGGGCATGGGTAAATGCCAGCAAAACCACAGCAAACAGCGCCTCTTAAACCCTCGAATCCTTTGTGATTAATTTACTTATTGATGGTCTTTCATAACTCCGTGGTCATCTTTTTTCTCACTGCTATTAATTATTCCTGGAAGCAAATAAAAGGGCCCACCGATATCTCTCCCTCCCACTCAGCACAGCCAGCTTTTCCTTAGGGAGAAAAAACTTGTGCTCATTTGCAGTGGGACAATGCCGACTTTTGAACCTCTAACCACTAAACAAACAAACCTTGCGCTCTGCTCCACAATCCAAACAGGGTTTATTGACAGGCGTATCGCAGCAACGCGCAGCAGCCCCGGCAGCAGCGGGCTGGGATCAATGCTGGGGGCGGCCCCGGGCGCCGCAGGACAGCAGGACATCCTCGGAGGGGCGGCCCCGCCCGGGGCTGCTCCGCCCGAGACCCTCGTGCCCGGGCACAGCGCAGAGGGAGGAGCGGGACATGATGCCTGCAAAGCCCTTCTAGCTCCGAGAGCCCTGGCACAACTGCTCTGCACTGGTTGGGGGCTGGTGCTGCAGAGCCAAGACACTCGGTCTGGGTGCTGCTCAGCTTTGGCTGGCCCCAGCAGCTCCTCCAGAATGATTCAAGGACCCTTCAGGGTCACAGGAGGATGAATCCGGCTCTTGCCTCCCTCTGATCAGGAACAAACCATGGACATTGGACCCAGCAGGACGTGCTCTGTGTCAAGCCCGTGTGCAATGAGCATTACTGCTTTGGGACTGCACCCGTGTTTCCTGGCCAGGCCCACTTCAGAGATCACGTATGCAGCAGAAAATGAAGCAGGTTCCTTGCACTGGAGCTGCTGCCTCCCACCACGGTCTTCTCCTGGGAACAGGAACCCTGGATCATGTTTTTATGGCCACTTGTCCCCTCTTGAACTGCTAGCCCTGGCCCTGCAAGGCATGGAGCTACATGCAGACAAAATGCAGTGCAGAGGCTTTGGGGCTGGGGCTTTCTGTTTCCCCAAGTTCCCTCAGGCAGAGAGAGCTGACTCCTCAGGAGGGTCAGTCCCTGACCAGACCATTCTCCCCAGGCAGTTCTGTAGATGCTGCTAGCATGTGGCTTTGGCTTTTAGCAAAAAGATAAGAAAAGTTTCAACAAGGAAGAAACCAAAAGAAGGCAAATGGAATAACTTAAATAAACTTGATGACCAAAAGTGAACAGCATGGGGCTAAATCCTGGGGAAGTCAATAAGCCACATAAGATGTTTGGGGCTGGACAGTGGTCCGATCATCCCTGCTGGGCCCAGGCCCACATGAGCTGGCTTTGCACCCAGCCAAGGGCACTGACTGCAGCGTGGCTGCTCCAGCCTGGCCTCAATTCACAGTTGGACTTCTCCCGTCTCGAAATAAGAAGTACATGTGGCAAACAGCCAGGGTGATTCAGCCAAATCAGCTGGACATTTCTAGTTTTCATCTCTGCCTAAGTGAGCCTTTTGGCCTTTCCACCCTGATCCCCTCCATCTAGCCAGCCTGTGGAAATGGGCCACAGCCTGTGCAAAGTAGGCTCTGATAGAGCACCACGCTCTTCCAAGGATTTCTGCTTCTGATGGAGCTGTGATGATGCCTACATAAAGCTGATAAAATCAAGGGAACTTTGGAAAATCAACTGAGACAGACCCTCACACCTCCACCCACACAGAAATTGTAAGGATGTGAGAAACAGCACACAGTTTAACCAAAGGGACATTGCACATGCAAACAAGGCTCCTCACTTCAGCATGATAGGACACCTTTTTCAGAAGAGACTAAATTCTTTCAATTTCTCTGCACTGCAGCTAATAAAACAGGATGGATGACTATCTGCACTGGATTTATGGGCTCTTTTACAAGTGCCTAACATTAAGCAATTCACTTCTGGACGTTTAAACAGTGCCTTATCTTGTCTGCTCTGACCCTCAGGGCAGAATGAACATTTTGCATATTCATGGTTGCAATAAGAAAATAAAATAAAATAAAATATAAAATAAAAAAAATGTGCTTTAATTTTTTTTCCTGCTAAAATTCATCATTAGCCCAACAACATTGCAAAGGTCTTTTGGACCGATCCCTGAGATATACCGGGGGTTGACTGGCAGGCAGCGCCCCCACTTTATCTAACAAATTCCAGGGTAAAAAAAACCCACCCAAACACAATAATAATATTAATAAAGCGATGGACACGCTTTCCCCGGACGACGAGACACATACACTGTACACCTGTACACACGGCCGGCCCCGCGGGGCGGTGTAGTGCATCGGGGGGCCGCTCCCGCCGTGCCCCCGGCCCGGCCCGATCCGCTGCGCCCTCCAGCAGTCCCTGCGCCGCCGTCCCCGGCCGCTGTCACTGCGGGGCGGCGGGGCCCAGCCCGGCGCCGGCCGCCCCCGCCGCCGCACCCTGCAAGGAGGCGCTGGGGCTCAGGGGCTCCGCGCCGCCGGGCTGCGCCTGCTGCAGCTTCTTCTTGTTGATCTTCCTCTCCTTCGCCCGCCTGTTCTGGAACCAGATTTTCACCTGCCAGGAGGTGGACAGTGGAGTGAGGGGGGACAGTCCGCCGGGGATCTATCCCCCTCTCAGGGGCTCTCACCGAGAGCGCATCCCACCCCCGTGCATCCACCCCCGGGTATCCCTGCCCCCGCGCATCCCTGCCCCCGCGCAGCCCGGCCACACGTGGCGTGCATAGGGAGCGCCACTTTTGGGACAGACCTGCCTCTCCGATAGCCCCAGGTTGGAGGCCAGCTCCGCTTTTCTCCTGATGGTGATGTAGCGGCTGTAGTGAAACTCCTTCTCCAGCTCCAGCCGCTGATGGTCGGTGTACACGACGCGGTACTTGTCTTTCGTCCTGGTTTTAACTGCGGAGCACAAAGCCAGGGTTGAGAAAGTCAAAGCCAAAGGGCAGAGCTGAGCGCAGCCATTCTGTCTGCGGTGCAGAGCGATCAGGAGCAGTCCTATCCCCACCTCCCGGGCTTGCTGCTCGCCTCCCCCTGCCCTGGGAACGTTCTGCTGAGCGCAGCAGAGGAGAGGAGACGTTCCACAGCTCCTTGGGGACATGAGACATCATTGCCAGGCATGCAGAAGCTCCCAGCCCCGGCTGCCAGCCCTGGCCCTACCGCACACCCCTGCCTTGCACGGGGACAACAACCTTCACTGTGCACTTGTTGGCTTTTGGGTGGGTTTTTTTTTTTTTTTTTTGGTTTTTTTTTTTTGCTTTCCCTAGCGACAACAAACTTCTTATAGAGAAAGAGGAAAAGGGAAAGAAAGAAAAGGCCCGTTCAGGGCACGGTGATTTCGTTTCTAAATGAGAAACAGACATCTAAGGGCGGAGAATCGGGAGCGGCTGCGGGGAACCACTCGTGAAGTGGCCAGCTCCCCCTTTTCTGTTACGGCACAGGGGCTAAAGGGATTTCTTGGGAAGCCTGGAAGTGTGACGTGCAACTTCAGAGCTAAAAAAATCCCAACAACAATAACCCAAGCCAAGAAACAAAAAACCAAAAAAACCCAAACCAAACCAAACACCGAAAACCCAACGGAATCCGAAGGCGAAAGCGGGCTTGCAGCCATTGAGTGTGTATCGCCGCAGCCGCTGACCTCCTTTTTCCCGAGGGTTTCTTGTTTAACTGGTTGTGTCCCCTGCCCAGCCGTTCCCCAGGGAGCCGAGGCGGGGAGTCTCTGCCCCCAAGGTGCTTAATGGCTAGCAGGCTGACTTTGTTCAGGTAAACTTTCTGCAAACCACAACAAAAGCACCCTGTAAAGATACAAGCCTGATCAGAGAAAACTCCCCAGAGTTAGTGAATAGGGAACACAATCCCAAACAATGCAGGACAAGGAGATCTTATCAAAGAAAAACCCTTCTCAAAGCCTTAATGACAGCCACATTCTGTTTGAATTACCACTACTGAACAAATGGCGGCAGGCGCTTTCATCCCCCCAGCTCTGCACATTAACATAAACACTGGCTCCAAAGGCAGAATTTGAATGGAGACAAGGGACCGGCCACCACCGCACAAGCCCAAACTGTGGGAACACCACGGGCTGCTGTGGGAAGCGGGGTGGGCCCGTCGGTTCCACCGCCAACGGCGCCCGGGACGCGGCGGTACCGGGGCTCGTAGGCTTTTCCCCCGGGGCGCGGCGGCCGCTGCCGTAGCCGGGACTCCCGCTCCGCTCCGCTCCGACCCGACCGGGGTACCCGCGCCGGCCCTGCTGTCGGTCACGCAAGGCAGGGGATGAGAGGGGAATGCCATAAGTCACTATTCACTGCGAAAGTCGTCGTCTTTTTTTTTTAAAAAAAGAAAGAAAAATGAAAAGAGGAGATAGTAGACGTGGAAGGCGTATATCAAAGCGCGGGACACGCATGTCCCCTGGCAGATGCACGGTGGGAATGAAAGAGAGGGTCTGCGGGGGTATTAACATCACAAGGGAGCGAGGCGCCGGGAGGGCACGCCCTCGCACGGCCGGCCCGGTCCGGCCGGGGCACGGCCCGGCTCGCAGGGATCGAGCTGGCAAGTGGCCGCCGCTGTCGCTCGGGAGGCCTGGCCGCGCGGAGACCTTAATAAAGGGCAGGCGGCCAGTGACTCAGAAACAAATGCGGAGCGACACCGGCCGATGATTTATATGACTATAATTGGTTATAAAAATCTTCTAAGTGGCTATAAGCAGGAGAGCGGAGCAGTGGGAGGAAGAGCGAGCGTTTCCTCGGGATCCAGACCATTCCATCCTCCTCCGCCGGAGCGCAGCCCCGGTCACCGGGGCTGGCAGCGGCTGCTCACCGGCCGAGCGCCGCTCCTGCCGCTGCCGGGCCCGGCACTCGGCAGTGAGTGCGGACGGGCTGTTGGTAGCGCCTGGCAGCCCTGCTCGCCCGAGGATCGATCCTCGGAGGAGTTTGTTTCGGGGAGCTCTCCCCGAAAAAATGTTTTGTCGGGCTGCCCGGCTCAACGGGGAGCCGGTGGCGCCCCGGGGGAGTCGTCGGCGGGGCAGCCCCCGCCCGCTGGCCCCGGCCCGCACTTACCCTGGCTGCTGAGCGGGGGCTGCGCCGGCTTCCTCATCCACTCGCAGAGGCCGCGGCGCTGCCCACCGGGGGAGAGCGGCTCGGGGGCGGCGCTGGCGGCGGCGCTGGCGGCGTTGAGGGGCTGCATGACCCCGGCGGAGCAGTGGGGCGCGGGGCCGGCGTGGTGGTGGGCGTGCGGGTGGTGGTGGTGGTGGTGGTAGTCGGCGGGGCTGTAGGCCATGGGGGCGGCGGGGGAGCCCCCGTTGAGGCCGTGGACGGCGCCGGCGGCCGGCGGTGCCCCTTGGCCATAAGTGCCCCAGTCGTCGCGGAGCGGGGCGGCGTAGGGCGCGGGCCAGGCGGGCCCCGGGGACTGGGCGCCGTCGAGGTTCACATGGTACCCGCCGTAGTCCGCGTACTGCGGGGCACCAACGAAGTTCTGCGCCGCCAGGTTAAGCCCCCCCGAGTGCCGCACCGGGCCGGGGTACATGGGCCCGTCCTTCTCCAGGAGGTAGCTCACGTACATGCTGGCGGGGCCCCGGCGGCGGCTCTCCACATGCTGCTCGGGGCTCTCGCCGCGGCGCGCCTGCTGCTGCCTGGGGCCGGGCTGCCCGGGGCGGGGAGGGGGCAGGCGGAGGGGCCGCGGCCCCGCGCTGCGCTCCGCGCTCCTCCGCGCTCCCGGTCCGAATCCAATGGCCGGCAGTCCTTACATGATTAACGATTGTTTACAAGGCTCTATTAGTAATGGCCCAGACACACCAAAGGCAGGTGACGTGGAGAGGCGCTGGGTATATAGCTACTACCCCTAAAAGACGATTTGCATTTAAAAAGATAAGGAGAGGGCAGCGACCTGATCACAGCTAAATATTCAAGCCTTTATTGTTTAAGAGCTTCCTCCTTCCATTGCAACCTGGTGCACTTTAACCTCCAATCACAGGTTCAAAGGATGAAATCAAGAGACTTGCAAAAGACAGCGAGGGAGATCTAAGGGCGAGGGTGGGAATATGGGAGCCGTGTATCACGGCCGATCTGTGGGCAGCACTTTAGCCAGCTCTTCTCTGTGCTTTGGGACTGGGGGGTGGGCGGGGGGGGGGGGGGAGGGGGCGGAAGAGGAGGGAGTTTTGATTAAAAATCCACAAAGCCATTTTGTAGTGGTTGGGGGCGGAAGAGGAGGGAGTTTTGATTAAAAATCCACAAAGCCATTTTGTAGTGGTTGTTTTGAGCAACAAACCCCATAGCGACGGCCTACTGCTTTTTGTAAAATGCTTCCCACCCGCTCCTGCTCCCGCTCGGTCATGGGCGATGAAGGCGAGGTAAGAGGAGAAATTCCCCCCTCCAAGGGCGCTGTCTCCTTCCTCCGCGTGTGCCTGCAGAACTTCGAGGTCGGGCGCGCCAGCAGGTCCGGGAAAGGACGAGGATTAGGGGTGCCTTAGTCTAAAACACCCTCTACCCTCAGACCCTCCACTGGAACGAGGCCGAATAATCCTGCCGCTCGGGGAGGCCTTGGGACTGAGGGAGGGGATGGTTCTCCTAAGGAGGGAACCATCAACCTCCTCCCGGAGCCTGTCACCTCATTGGGCGATTCCCCCGCTCTAGCGCAGCTGAGCCCGCGGGGAAGCCGACGGCTTGTCGCTCCAGGCACACTCACTTCTTCCCTCCCCAGCTCCTTGGAAACCCTCTGGAAATGCTGGCTCTGGAAGGGCGGCTCCCAGGCAAGCGGCAGCCGGCTCCCCCAGCCCAGCCAGTCCCCTTTGAAGAAGCGACCCCCTCTCAGCTTCCCCCCGCCGCTTTTATGCTTTAACTTTTCACCCTGAGCGGGGACAATGCGAGACGACGTTTGCATATTCGCATCTTTTCCCATGACACAGCGAAGAAACCTTTCACCCGCCGAGAAAAAATGGATGGGGACGGGAATGTCCCCCCATTTTCCCAGCACTTTTCGCCGGAGCAGCGCAGCACCGTCTCAGCCATTCTCACCGGCTTTCCCGGTCCCTTGGGGCGGCTGCGGCTCGGTCCTACCGGGGCTCCCCAGACGGGCCCCGCGCTGTCCCGGACCCTCATGTCCCGGGTATTACATACGGAGATCCACGTGGTCGTGTCCCAAGGGTGCTTTTCCTTCCACGTGGGTGGCTGTTCTGCACACCGAGGAGTGTCACTGAGATTGGGTGTCTTGCAGCTGAGGGCATATTTCAGCTCTGCAAAGGCAGATATCCCGAACCCACTCTCTAAAAACCTCCCTCTCCTTCCCCTCATTCTATCGTTCCTTTGGTGCTGAGCGTGGGGCTGATGCGGAGCCATGCTTTAACGCCAGCGCGGGTAATTCAGTGACCTCTCTCAAAATGTCCCAAGGGATCTAGTGTCAGTGTCTCTGGAAGACTGGGATGCTCAAGTAGGAAAGAATGGAGCATCTTTCCTTGGGAAGAGGCCACAGACGACCCTCTCGGACTCGCTGCGGGTGGCTTGGATGCGAGAAATGGGATATCCCCACCCCGCACATAGCCAGGAATGCTTGTGCCCACACCGTCACTTGTTCGCAGGTTGCCGCGGTTGCGACCCTAAGATAACAGCAGCACAACAGCAGGAATGCAGAGATGCTTGCCCGACGCTTTCTCGGGAGGGAATTTCTCTCTCTGTTGCTTATTCCCACCGTGATACTTTCCCCCCCTTCCCCGCCCCGACGGTGGGGTAACAAGGAGACGGGAGCGGGGCTTGGAGCTCCCAATGCTGTCTGAGCAGGAGGCTGAAATGTCACTCTGGAAAGGAAATGCTGTGACCCTTCAATGTAATCGCCTCCCCCGATAAGCGCCGACAGAGCCGATCTATGCAGATGTGAATTTGATGATGCCATAAATGGAGAAAGGGGCTATTAAAACGACAAAACTCTGGACATATTGTAATAAAACGCACTACAACCCTGAAACAGTGTCTAAGGCTCTATAAGTGCATCCCTGGCGGCCAGGTGGAAGCGTTTTGGGGTGAGACCCGACGGCAGTCCGAGCTGACAGGGCTGGAGGCCGCTGGCTGCGGGATCAAATGAGAGTCTCGCGGCTCCGGTGAAGGAGCAGGATAAGGCTCCAAGGAAGCCCCGCGAACACCTAGAATGGCAGCCAGAGCGCTGCTCCGCTACTTTGCCATTCTGACAGTGATTCCATTTGTCCCCCAGTACGGGGAGGACTTGGGAAGACCGGGCCCAACCAGCCGTACCCTAACTGGGGTCGGCGGCGAGATGGGGACAAGTCCCGCTTCCCCCGCGGATAAATGCTTTGAAGCATCCTCCGCCGCGCAGCTCCTCCCCGGACGCGACCCATGGCAGCTGCTGGGAATGGGAATACGCTGCCCTGGGCCACTCTTGTCTTAAAAGAAGAGGGATCCCCATCCACTCCTAGATGCCTTTGCGGCCCTTCGGTCTTCTTTCCATTGTGACTGGCACAGGATTTGTCCCCTGTCCGGCCCTACCCAGCTATCGGGGCTTCTCAAGGAGGCTGGGGAGAAAGGATATCTCTCTTGGCCGGTTTTCACACCTTTTCTCCCCTCCATTCTACCTGGTCCCTCTCCTCTTCCATCTCGGGTTTTCCCGCCGGTTCCGGCCCAGAGCTGCAGATCCGGGAGAGGAGTAGGGACCCTTGGACCAGATCCCCACACGGGAGCCTGGGCGAAGGCCTGATCTCTCCCTTCTCGCTTCCTCCGGTTTTTTTCTTATTTGTTAGATTCTGAGCGAGGAATTGAGACCCAGCGCCTCTCAAGCTGAAAGTGCCTGATGGGGGACACGGTTCGCAGGGAAATATCTTCCCCCTCCCCTTCACGTTGACCTCGATATTCTCCCCGTAGGGCTTTTTCACCCAGGGCTGCCTCCTGGGCAGATGCTGGGCTCCCCGTCCTCCTCCTTCAGCCTCAACCTTACTTCTTGATCGGAAAAAAAATTGCCGTCATTTTTCCGGGGGGTAGCCAGGGCATCGTCGTGGCCGCGGGGAGGTGCCGGGGGCAGGGCTGCTGCCCGCTGCCCGCTGCCGGCCCTCGGACCCCGGGCAGGCGGTGCTCGGAACCGGAGCGAACCCCGCGCTTCGGGGTCGACGCTCATCGTCGCCTCGGCTACGGGGCTGGCGTGGATTGGGGGATAATGGGTCGAGCAGCACAGCCCGAGGATTCTCATCCCAGGTCAGAGACGTCCCCTAAGTCTCGGGAAAGGCTGAGCGCTGCGCAGCACCCGCGATCCCTCCTCCATAGACTGCTCCCACTCGGCGGGACAGCTGTGGGGACGCAGATTCACCGTCTTTATTTCTGCTTGCCGTGTGGTATAACTCCTTTTTCTGTGATTTAGGAGAATCTCAGGGTGGGGTGGGGGGAATCTTTCCGTTTCCCTCCACCTTAACGACACGGAACCAGGAACGTTGTTTACAAGGTAAAGAAAAAAAAAAAACCCGCTTGAAAGCCCTTTGGCGGCCATGGAGAGAGAAGGGAAGGAGGAATCGTGTGTTAGTTAGTCCGACCTGTGGAATTTATGACTCCCCTAAGCACAGACATGATAAGGACTTAGAAAACATCTTGGATCTTTTCAAGCCGGCAGCCCCCGAGGCTTTGATGTAGATTACATTGCAGAATAACCCAATACTTTTATCGTGGGGTTGATACTCGTCTTGTTTAAGCGCATGCCTCTAGGAGGGGGTTAGATGCTGAACGCTCGCTCCCCAGCGGATTCGCGTTGCTGGGAAGAAAGCAGACGGGGAGGGAAGGTGGCACCTGGTGCCTGGCTGGGGCACAGCCACCCATACCAGCACCGCCACGGGCCGGCCCTGCCTCTTTGCACAGGTGCTGCCAGGCCTGAATTCTCATGGCCCTTTTCTCCTTCAAGAAACGGGAACGTAAACAGAGAAGAAGGAGAAAAAAAGTGGTATGATACACCAGAGGCCTCTGCCAGCCAGAGGCTGGTGAGGGTGTTCCCAGCCTCTCAGGTCCAGTGGCTGGCATACCTCTGCTAAACCAAGAAAATACCCTTGGTTGGATTTTGTTCTATTAATTTGTTTTACTTGACTTTACCTTACTTTGTTATCTTTTTAAAATGTCACAGAGGAAGAAGGCCGCACCAGGGCGCCCCGGCTGCCCGCAGAGCGCTTGTGCCCGGCCCCTGCTGGCATGTCCCGCTGGGAGGGCCGGGGCCCGATCCGGTCACGGGAGCCGTGAGCCACCGCACCCGCACCGCAGCCCCGACGGCGCGGCCGGGCGGCGGCGGGGGCGCTGCCTCTCACGGCAGGGGAAGCCCAGGGCTCGGCTGTTGTCGCCCCTGCCCCCAAGGACACTCCCCGCCCACCCACGGACACTCCCCGCAGCACGCAGGGCCCGGGCAGCGCCCGGCACGGGATGCCGCGGGAGCGCGGTGCTCCCCAGCCTCACGCTCTCGGCTTTGCGGCGAGGCACGGCCGGCACGGGAGACCCAGGCAGAGGTTGCCCCCGGTCTCCCAGACCGCAAGTCCCGGCCCAGCTGGTGGGATGGGGCCACAGACATGAGTGTCGTCTCCCGTGCCAAGCAAAACACTGAATATGACCTGTAAAATGGTTTGCACACATTTGCCAGCAGTGTGCCAGCCCCCGTGCTATCTCCCTCTCCCAAGGGCAATCTGAAGGCTGACGCCCTCACTGTTTTCCTCGCTGATTAATCTTCTACATTTCTCAGCTCTGAAACCTTAGCAGGGAGGTGATGCATGCCCCTTTGGTGTGTAGTTCCCATCTCCACAACACATGCTAGTCTTGCCCATTTTTCTCCACTATTCCCTTT